TTTTCGAGTGTTTGGGTATCCCGGTGAGACACGAGCTCGAGTTGTTTATATGGCTTCTCAAATGAATCGAGACGTATAACAGAATGTTTTCGTTTGCTGATTTGAATAGAGTTCTTAACCAAGCATAACGTAATTAGGAATTCTATTCAAGTAATTTTGCATGCGTAATTAAGATATTTGATGAAAACACTAGTGACTTTCATCAAGTTTCCAAATGGCATCTTGTGATCAAATAGGTGATTATCATTGGCTAAATTTGAGAATTTTATATAAAGAATTTTATATAAAGATTTGACTTATTATGCAAACGTTTTTGAAGCCATTTAAAAAACTCGCAGGTCGTGTTTTATTAGGTTTAAAGCCTCTCGCACTGCGCGCTCGTGGCTTAAAACCTAATAAAACACTCCTGCTCGTTTTTTAAATAGTACATAGAGTTTTCTCGTAAAATTTCCAGCCACGCGAGAAATCTGTTTGCAAATATTACGTATTACCTCGAGGTTCTTATCAAACTCTGTATCCGCCCACGACATACTGGGGTAAGCTTTGTTAAGAAGTTCCACTCCACCGACATGGCCAATCGTAAACAACTTATTTAAAAATTCCCCAGGTTTTAGGAGAGCCTGTATTCCAAGACTGTTTGTGACAAACAGACCTCTACAATGCCATTTGAATATCTGATGAAGAGGATGAAAGAACGATAAAGTACGTCGCATGATGACACAGATTGGTTCCATGACAATATGTGTTTTCAACAGGTGTTCGATAAGTTCGGTATACGTTATATCCGCTCGTTGAATTTCTTCCTTCGCCATCAACCATTTCGAGGCGTCAATAGGAGAAACTACTGGCGCGCCTGCGGAAACGTAATGGGAAAATAAGAGAGACTATTATATATATTATACATGAAATCCGACTATACTGACCTACCGGAATTCAGTCCGCGCAATTTGTTTAGTCTGGGGCGAAATATGACATCTCATACGAATAAATCACTACTTATAAAGTGAGGTGAATTTATTTTGATGAAGTCCTAGGATTGAATTAATTTTGACCCAGCTCAAGGACCGAATTAATTTTGATCCAGTCTTAGGACAGAATTATTTTTCATTCCAGTAGTATAGGACTGGATCAACATACTTCACCAGGTATCGAATATTATCATAGAATTGAAATTATTATCAATGTCAACGAAGTCAGTTAACATTTTGTTTTTAAGACCTGTACACTCTAGAAATACCGTTGTAAAATATTTCGTGGTTAATCTGTTTGGGGTAACTTAATGTTGGAAATGATTAAATTTCCTAGTGGTAAATTTAACCGTAGTCCTGGTTAATATGTTAATTTAATTCATATAGTCCAGGATTCCTGGTTACTTTAGCCAGTCTACAGTATATGGGTAAATTAACCAGATTATTATTAATAAAGAGTTCCTGGTGAGTAATCCACCTAACATAACCTGGTTAATTTAACCATGCATATATAGCCTGGTTAAATTAACCAGGAATACTGGTTAAATTAGCCACGATAGTGATCAAATTGATCAGGACTGTGGAATTTAACCAGCCCATAAAGTTACCCCAAACTGTATCAATTTTATATTAACCAGGATGTTTTAAATACTGTAATAATGTTTGCATTCATAGGCGTACGGGGCTGATGCTTTCCTGCGGGAAGGGGG